AGTATGCACATTTCCTACCTTATTTGTAAATGAAATTCGTCTCCAATCCTTCTTTTAAAGTTTATTTTTAGTTTCGTTTCAAGTTTATCCATTATTCTAATGCAAGAAAAATACAGCTGGTTTTCCAAGTAAAAACCGCTAAATAACGTTTACATGTAGTTACGTTATGATACATAATCAGAGGGTGGGGAGATGGGGGGATTCCCCCGGTCTATATGTCTCTGCATCTGCTAAATATTTTTTTTTTATTCCCAGTGAATAGGAGTTAAAACTCCCACATGGGTGACGCTACTCCAATAACAGACCATGCAAAATACCTAAACATATTTAAAATATTGCAAAGTAACATTGCAACCTTGCAAACAATAATAAAATCAGAGAAGGACTTTAACGGTAAGCGACACAAGCATACGCAAAACAAAGGGAACAATATGATGTTTGTTATTATTAATTTTATATAGCCCACGTTTTCATTAAAAAAAAATTTATTTACCGCTTAGACAATAACGTTGACAATAACGTATATCTTCAACATACATTGTCTATGACCAAAAATGTAAGATATGTTTTCAGTGGACTTTTAAAATTTGCTTTGCTTGAGAAAACAAAAAATATACAGTTACAGTGTTTTTTTTCTTTTGATTTAGTCGAGTTGGTTTTGCATCAAACACAATATGATTTTTGGCAATCGAGATCTGACAGCAACAGCACATTTTTCTGCTTGGGCGAGCGCTTTGCGGACAGCTTACCTCGCGCATTAAATCAGCCTCAGGCCAGCAAATCACTGAGAACGCGCTACAATCCTGACGAGTCGTAGCAACAGAGCAGAGATGAGAAAGCTGCAGAGAATCCGCTTGCCCAGAAGCAACCGCAACTGGTAGATTTAAAGAAAATATAATTTGCCGTTTGGCAAGCAAATCATTATAAGTACTTATTCCAAACTCTTTAACTTATAACTTATAATCATGTTTATATGAATTATCCCATGAACTTATTCTCTAAAATGGCCTGGGTATGTGGAGCATTCACAGCTTATATGGATGGAACGCTACTGGTGCATATATAGACTGTAATAAGTGGGTTTAAAAATTTGCCATATGCATTACTTGATTAAACTATCTAACTATAACAAGGCCCTCTGTCTTCACTCCCATGGTGTTGCTGCTCATTTGCAAGAAGTTGAACTCTGCTCACCTTTGTCACATTGTCAACGTTTGTCAACATTCATATCACCTCAAATCTCCAAATTTTATTGAAAATGAATGACTTCTGCTTGCTTTGGGCTGCAGATCATTGTCAGTTTGAATATACCTTAAAGAAATAGTTCACCCAAAAATGAACATTCTGTCATCATTTCTTCACCCTCAAGTTTTCTTAACGTTCAGGCAAAGATTGTGTGCGTAAATATGTATGTGTTCATGTGTCATTTTCAACTCCCTAGTGGGTCATAAGGCAAGGCAAGGCAATTTATTTTTAAAGCACGATTAAAAACAACAATAAGTTGACCAATGTGCTGTACAGATTCTAAAAAACATAGATAAGCAGACAATATATACACATCACTTACACTGCACAGAGCATACATTCAACCTAAAACAACATTCAACAGTCCAACAACAGCATTTTGCAAAAAAAGACTGGGAGAATAAATTAGTCTTTAAAAGGGACTTAAATGACACCAAAGTGGAGGCTATTCTTATGTGTAAAGGCAAACTGTTCCAAAGCCTCAGGGCCAATACTGCAAAAACACGGTCCCCCCATAGTTTGCGTCTCGACCTAGGAAAAATCAAGAGTTTTTGGTCAGAGGACCTCTGAGATCTTGATGGAGAGTACGGTTGCAACAAATCTGAAATATAAGATGCTGCAAGGCTGTTTAATGATTTAAATACAAACAGCAAGATTTTAAAATCAATTCTATAATGGACCGGCAAACAATGTAAAGATGACAAAATTCGAGTGATATGGTCCCGTTTCCGAGAACCTGTTATCAACCTTGCAGTGGCATTCTGGACAAACTGTAGTCGTGACAGGGTGGACTGACTAATCCCTACATACAGGGAATTACAGTAGTCCAGGCGAGAAGACACAAAAGCATGCATCTCTCTTTCAAAATCACAAAAGGATAAAAACGGTGTTCTTAGTTGAAAAAAGCCAGATCGAACAAAACCATTGATCTGTTTATCAAATTTCAAGGCATCATCAAAAATTACACCTACATTTTTTACCATGGATTTACCGAAGATAGATAAAGGGCCTAAATCAATATTAATAGACCCAGATGCATTGGAGAGTGCAAAAACAATATTCTTAATTTTCCTTTTATTTAGGTGGAGAAAATTCACAGCCAACCATGTTTTCAAGTCCTATAAGCATGCAAGAAGAGCTTCTAAAAAGTTGCCTTCCTTCTTTACTGGTACATAAATCTGTGTATCATCAGCATAGCAATGAAACAATATACCATGTTTACTAAAAATAGATCCAGTTGGCAGCATATACAATGAAAACAAGATGTGTCCCAAAATGGATCCTTGCGGGATCCCACATGTAAGAGAGGCCGATAATGATGAAAATTTCCCCAGGGTAACTGAAAAGCTCCTATTGGTTAGATAGGACTTAAACCAATTTAATACAGTACCATGAATCCATACCACCTGCTCAAGTCGAGCAATAATAATTTCATGGTCTATGATATCAAAAGCTGCACTAAGGTCAATTAACACCAAAATTGCAGTATCATCAGAGTCTACTGCTAGCAAAACATCATTGAGAACTTTCAAAAGTGCAGACTCTGTACTGTGATGCTCCCTAAACCCTGACTGGAAAACTTCAAATAAAGAATTCTTATTCAAAAAAAGACTGCAGTTGAATAAGGACCTTTGATAAAAAAAGTTACTTTTGAAATAGGCCTGTAATTTGCGTAATCCGTTGGATGCAATTTAGTATTTTTAATTAAAGGTTGTACTACAGCATGCTTGAAAGATGCAGGAACAGTCCCTGATACAAGGGAGCTATTTATTATTGATAAAATGCTAGGCCCAACTACATCAAAAGTGTGTTTGATCAGTCTTGATGGAACAACATCAAGAGGGGAATCCGATGGCTTCAATTGATCAACTATTTTAGCCAAGGTAGAAAGTTGAAGATGTTTGAACCGAGAAAACACAGCAGGGCAACAAGAAAGAGCCGAGGGATCCCTAGCTGCAGGATGTATTTGAGATCTAATATTTTCGATCTTATTATATTTTCTTTTCTTAAAAAACCTCATAAAATTCTCACAAGCCTCCACTGAAATCTCAGGCCCAATGCTATTTGATGGATTAATAACAGAATTGATAGTATTAAACAATACTCTAGGTCTATGACAGTTATTTTCAATAATAGCAGAAAAGTACTTAGCCTTCGCTGCCTTAACTGCTTTTTGGTAAAAATGCAAGGAGTCCCTCAAAATTTCAAAAGACACTTGGAGCCTGTCCTTCCACCATTTACGCTCTGCTCTTCTGCAAAGTTTGTCTGAGAGCTCACGTGGTATCATTAACCAGGGCTCTACCTTAGTTTTTACACGTTTCACCTTCATCATAAAGGTGCAATAGAATCTAAAATAGTTGAACAGCCAGAGTTGAAAGAAAACAGTACAGGCACAGGATCCCAATATAGTGGAGGATTTTCAAAGGTAGAAATATTATGATTATTCAAAAATGCCCTTGAAAACTCACTAATAACACTAGAGTTCAGCATACGACAAAAACATGACAGTGGGTAAGATCTAACAGATTGAGATGGGAGAGAAACCCCAAAAATAACTGGATTGTGATCAGAAAACGTTGCATCACAATTATTTTTCACATAGCCCAAAGAGATACCATAAGATAAAACTAAATCCAGTGTATGTCCATATTCATGTGTAGGAGCCTTTACAGACTCTTCAAGATTAAAAGAGTCAATAATTCAAAAAGTCTTTCACCAGGGGGTCAGCAGGACAGCACAAATGAATATTAAAATCCCACACAATTTAAAACTTATCAAATTCAAATAAAATATCCCCTAAGAGTTCAGAAAATCATGGATGGAGTCTTTATTTAATTTGGGTGGCCGATAAAGCAGCACACACAACACTGGCTTCACTAAATCCAATTTAAATTCTTGCAATTCAAAACTAGTAAAGTCTTCAAACTCTACAGGTCGACAGAGCAAGCTGTTTAAAAAAACTGAGGCTAGACCTCCGCCCCTGCCCGAAACTCGCGGAGAGTTAATAAATTTACAGTCCAAGGGAGCCAGGTCTGCAAAAGGACTTAGATCACCAGAGGATAGCCATGTCTCAGTCACAAATAAAACATCCAATGGTTTTGAAGTAAAAAGATCCCTCAAAATAGAGGTCTTATTGCAAAGCGATCTCACATTAACCAGTGCCATTTTGATTAGCAAAGAGTCGCCTACCGACTGTGATGAACAACACAGCAGTCGAAGATTTTGGAGACACCACCCCCACCTTTACGGAGATACGGCATCCGATGTACAGGATGTTCTGCGAAGATTTCCAATGCAATCGGTGAATCCAAGCATATGCCGGCTCCAGAGAACGCTGATAAACTAATCGGTGATAGGCCCACTCGCCTTTGAAACCGTGGTGATTGAAGTCGGTCCTAGACGCCAACAGCAGTTTAGCCTTAAGTTTGACTGCAAGGCCACCTCGTTTCCCACATCTTCTTTGACGCTTTTTCGGCAAAAGAGGCCAGGGAAGCCGACACAGGGCCGGCGGCACCTCGGACAGGACTGGAGGAAGAAGTGAGCATGGTCTTCCACGTTCTTACTCAAACTGTATCCACAGTGTGTTTTATGTTAATCAATGTAAGACGATCATAAACCAAGACGGCAGTTGCGTCCTGTGCCAGAAGTGAGACAAACAAAATAAAAACAAATAAACCAGGTACCAGACGGCCAGCCATGCACACTGGCGCCATCTTTAGCTTAACTTAGCTTAATAATAATGTTATACTCAAGGGGAAAAGTGAAATGGTAATAGCCTAAATTTCCAATTCCAATCCAGATCAGTTTTTTAATATATTAATTTCCATCTGCATGAAAACAATTGTCTTCAAAATAGTACATATCAGGGTGGGAACTAGAGAATGGGCACCTAGAGAATACAAATAATTGCATCCGAAGTCATGGCCAAAACTTCAGACTGGGAATTATAAATTACAGTGTTTCTGAGCCAACGGAAAGGTTCCTCACATTGATGGCAAGTTTCAAAACATTTACTCACAACCCTCTTGGAAGTCTAACAGCAGTGCAGATAACAAGTCCTGCCAATAGGGAGTGGACGTTCAACCCCAATATTTTGTCACGCCACATCAAAGTCCAAAGAATGTGAAACAGAAAAATCGATCATTCCAATTTCTTTCGAAGTTCAACTGCCCTGGAAAGCATTGATCCTGCCTGCTCCTTCCTTCTGTTGCACACAGAGCGGCTTTTTGGAGACATGTCGGACATGCTGTTTGTTTAGAACTTTCTCCAGACTGCCGCTCTCCAGACTGCCACTCTCCTTCTCTGCCTCTCTTTCCTCATTTATTGAATGCACGTTACCGTCTAAGAAGCATAATTGTTTCTGTAATCAGGGAGCCATTTTATTCCCATGTTCAAATCGGAATCCTGTTGGGTGTTTATATACCCTCTAATTGAAATTATGAAAAGAGGTGGGATGAATTAAACATGTCTGCTACTATGGCAGGATGAAATACCTTTTGTGCTGTGGAAGAATTATTTATTTCATTCTCTACTCCCCCTTGTGCAGCTGTAGATATGACAAGCTTCTGACAGTTCCTGCTGTGTATGCTAACAACCAGTGTGTATTTGCTACACGTGCTATCATTAGCGCCAACAATCCTCCTCTGAGCGTGGTTGGAGCGGGTGCGATGCTTGCGAGAATTAAAGATTTCTCTTGACAGAGAATAATGAGTGTATTGATTGTCCTTCAAGATATTTACCACTCTCCACTCTTGAACCACAAAGGGCATCGACAAACCAAGACCAAGCATTATCCTCCAAATCATGGTGGGGAGATTTTAAAAGGGTCGTTCTAGACATAAACTGCGCGGTCCGTTACTGAATTAACCCTCTGAATTTATAGCTTTGTGTAATGTGCTGGAGGAGACAGTAAGTTAATAGCTCTCATTCTCATAGAATGTGCTAGGGCTCAGGGTTGCCAAGTCCACAGTTTTACCACCGTAGCGCCATTTAGACAAAGAGGGACCCCATCTCCCCGTAACACAATTTTGACGGAGCCTACCATTGAAGGAGGGGGAAATCGCAGAAAAAACGCGATTGGGCTAGTTTTGGGTTGGGTTTGTTTCACAGACCTGGCAACCCTGCTAGGGCAGCATACAGGTGCATCTCAATAAATGTCGTGGAAAAGTTCATTTATTTCAGTAATTCAACTCAAATTGTGAAACTCGTGTATTAAATAAATTCAATGCACACAGACTGAAGTAGTTTAAGTCTTGGTTCTTTTAATTGTGATGATTTTGGCTCACATTTAACAAAAAAATATCCTGCAAAGGTTAGCTCCAACCCACTTTTCTAGAAGTTTCTAGTGAGTCTCAAGACCTTGATTTGTTGGTCAAGGTGTATTTAGTTGGGATTGGAGCCAAACTCTGAAGGACAGTGGCCCTCCAGGAACAGGTTTGGACACCCCTGGTTTAACTCAACATATTTACCCAGCTCTGAGTTGCCAGTTACTTTTAACAAAGCCAGCATTAGGGTGTATATTTCAAATTAAACCATTAGTGTAATATAAAATTACTCATACTGTTATATAAGATTTTGGTCATACCGCCCACCTCTAAACTTTTGCTCAAAGTACAAAGACAAATCAATAGTTACTGTCACTAGATTTTCCCAGTGTTGATGCCAGTTATTTGATATATGAGATATGTGTTATTTTTCTCCATGCAGGTGACGACCACTGGCAGAGCGAGCTACTATGTGTCCTATCAAAGAGAACCTTTTGTATGCATTAAAATCCCCAAATACTCCCTGCCCAAGGTAAGAGACTACCTAAAATTTTGAATGAATTAGCTAGAGTAGACAAAGTATTTTCATTAGACAACTAGATTCGGAAGTAAGATAGACAAGAGGAGAACATACATTTTTATGTTTAGATTATTTATTAGCTTTTCATCGGCACTCTGTAGTTACTTTGCTAACCCAGTGGTTTTGGCCTTTATAATGACACCTATTGGTGTGGATGAATGATCAGTCAAAAGTAAAGGTTTTTAGTTACTAATGCTGAGCAAGTTTCTGCACATTCCTGTTGAAGAACTGAAGTGCAAAATCTTTTCAGTTGGGTCATGGCTCATGTTCAACTGAGCCCTGCGCAAACATATAATCCTGTAGATCATGCCCACCGAGAACTAGCAGGGGTCCTCGCTAATGACTTGTGCTTTCTTTTTTCTCACCCTCAGCTGTCTTTTCCCCTCTTTTTCTTTTTCTGTTTTCTAGGACATGCATATTGTGAGCACAGATCAAGGTCAGGTTTTCACCGCCGTCCAGGAGTGGAATCAGAACGATACCTACAACCTGTACATATCTGACACGCGTGGCATATACTTCACCTTGGCCCTGGAGAACGTCAGGACCAGCCGTGGGCTCGGAGGCAACAGCATGATCGACCTTTACGAGGCATGACTTCATCACTATCTTGTTAACAAGCTAACATTAGGCTTCAAGTCAACGGCTTCATGCTAGATGCTCATTACTCCTCGGGCTGCATTAGAATTCATGTCAGACGCTACTTCTCGCCCTGGCACTCAAGTATAGACCACATTATCTTAAGCCTCTGGGGAATTAGCAAGCGTAAATGAATGATAGCAATGAAGACAGAGAGATAAATTGAGTTGTAGTTAAATGTTGTCGAAGTGGGAGAGGAGAGAGATCGCTGATTCAATGGGAGCTGCTCGTGTTTTGTGTATGACTCCTTTTTAAAGGGATCCTATCACGAGGAATGAAGTTTCCCTTGATCTTTCGAGATAAAAGATTTCATTGTACCAAGAAGACATATCGTAACTTGTTTCCCTCTGGAAAATTTTGGAGCATAACTGTTTTCTTAGCCGGCTTAAGCTCTGTTAAGAAATACTGGTACTTCAGAAAATAACAATTCTCAAATTCAAAACATTTCAAATGATCTTAATTGCTCCAAAGCACACCTTTTATTATTTCTGTTCAATAATTTGGAGTTGTTTTTTGTTTGGTTTTGTTTTGTTTTGTCTAAAGATCTAAAGAAGTTTGGAAGTCTTTATTATAGGCACAAGCATCAATCTTAAGGACTTATTGGAGACTTCTTAGAGAGAAAAAAAAATCTTATTGGAACTCTTATAAAAGGTAATAAAAGAAAGGAACATACAACAAGTGACTAAGTGAAAGGAAGTGCCTTTCTCTCTATCAATTTCTCCTGTTGTCTCTCTTACTCTGTTCATTAAACACCTCTCAGCGGTAGTCTGCTTTATACTTCTTTTGGGTCAGTGGCATCGTTCTGCTTTCTTCTTTTAATAAGAGTAGGCTATTAGACTATTTTTGTTTTTTTAAATCTCGTACCAAGTATGAAGTACTAAAGTGAAGCAGTTTCAGGAAAATTCAGGTCTATGTATATATTAATATTGGTTTAAATTGAATTGAATTAAGTATTTTTTTAAATTTATTATTATTATTTGTTTTACTTTATGCCTTTCAGAACAATATTACGTAAACAGGAAAAAAAAATCATAGATTGGTCTAACAAAGTAATGAAAGTGTACAGTCTATATAGTCTATATATATATATGAATATAAATGTTCCCTTTAGACCCTTATGATTTGCATTAATTTCTATGCTAAATAATAAAATCACTACTCACTAGTCTACCACAATCGTCAATCGATATTATTTTGTGAGGATAAATCCTCACTAGAAAACTTGAGTATCGGAAGTATCAATATTTCAAGATCGATCCGCCTATCTGTGGCCAGAACTCTCACACTGCCTGTAGTTTTTCTGTAAGAATAGATTTGCCAATTGAGTTCAAGGAAACCATTCCTCCTTCATGACAGTATTAACATCAGAATATGGTCGCTCTTAGCATATACTATATAATTTTGCTTTAAAATTAGCTGCCTGTACCTAGCACAAAAACAAATTGAGAAATGAAACATTCGCTTCCCTTGTCCAAGCAGCTAAAAATAGTCTCCATTAGTGAGTGCAAGCAAGGATGGTTTCATTAATGCATTGGTTATGATGCATTTCCCCACTTTTGTGCCAAGGCTGGCTCAATGCACGCTCACCCTGCCAATACTGAATCAGCAGTCCATCCATATCTCTAATAGATTGCAGCAGCCTTCATTAATGCTTATTGAAACCTGGCTTTTTTCACTGAAGCTCCAGTTGGAGCCTAAGTTCCATCCAGTCACGTGGTTCGTGACTGGATGTTTGTCATATTTATCTCTCTATTGATCAGCAAGAAGTGGGGTTGCTTTACTTTTATATATTTTTATAACAGTAATGATTGATAATGGATATTTTGGTTCTGGCACACACTTCTTTGGTGTTGGCATCTGTGGCCTGCTGCCCTGTATGCAAATGACACGCACTGCTTACCTTGGCATCACTAGAATTCAAATATACACTACTGTTTAGAAGTTTGAAGTCAGTTTTTTTTTTACATTAATATTTTATCCAGCAAAGATTCATTAAATGTATCAAAAGTGACAGTAAAGTCTTTTACATTACAAAAATTTATATTAAAAATAAAACTAAATAAATTAAATAAATAATTTCCCCAAAAATATTAAGCATGATTTCAACAAAAAAATATGAATCCAAATATTAATCCCCCCCCCCATTGATAATAAAAAGAATCATAATAAATGTTTTTGAGCACCAAATCAGCATATTATAATGATTTCTAAAAGATATTGAGACACTAAAGACTGTTTTCAGTATCTATGCTGAAAATTCAGCTTTAAAATTTAAAAAAATTTAAATTAAATTTTTTTTTAAATGTATTCAAATAGAAAACAGTTATTGAAAATGTAATAATATTTCACAATATTACAGTTTTTACAGTTTTTCTGGTCAAATAAATTTCTGCCATGGTGAGCAGAAATTAAGCTCACAATTATTTACATTTTAAAATATGTTAAATAATATTTATATAATATATATATATATATATATATATATATATTTTAACAATATTACAATTAATCTAGTTGTCTATCAGATAAATGCAACATTGGTGCACATAAGTGACTTCTTTGCAAAACATGAAAAAAAAGAATATATATGTATATGATAGCCCAAGTTCGCTGACATGGTATTACACGTGTGTGTGTGTGTGTAAAAAAAAATTTTTTTTTTTAAACTTTCTGCAAACTTTTGAATGGTTGTGTACAATGGAATCAAAAGGTTTATGAATAATTAAAGATATAGAAATGTCATTGCTTTACATAAAATATCAAACTAAGTGGCATAATGTTTTGTTTTTTTACATTAAAACATTTTTATTTGCATCTGGTCTAAAAGTTTATTATAAGTGAATATAGAACATAATTTCCCAAAGTTGTCATGGTTTCCTATTCGTCTTTCCTCCCATTTGAAAACTCTCTCATTGCTGGTCACCAACATATGATGCACTCCAAATAGCTTCTTAAATCATTTACACAGCAAGATCTTCTTGGTCATTTTACTCTTGTTTTAAACAGAAGTATTTCAGGCTAGAGATCTTCGCTTTGTTTGCTCAGTTGCTCTTTTGATTATTTGCATGGCGCTGAACAAGTACTCGTGATGAATTCATTGTAAACATGAATGAGCAGCTGATCTGCTCACTGAAGTATGACCCGATTTGCAGAGCATGCTGAATATGAACCGCTCTACCACAACCAGTACATCCATCTTCTTCCGGGAGAACATTGGAACCGAGAGATGGAAGCTAAAGGATAATAAATAATTACCGCTGTGACTGACACGTCTGGCCAGCAGAGGAGGGGACCTCATTAGCCGTGTCCATCCAATGCGGCTCCGTCACTGTGACACTGTCAAATGCAGTCCCTATTAGTGCCACTTACAGACTCGGACCCTGCCTTAGAGCATGCTTCGCTAGCAGGACGCGATTTAAAACAGGTCGCTAGCACCACTGTCACCATTCAATATTGCTAAGTTTGGGCTTGTTTTAAGCCGAGGATGTCCGCTAGAGTAACACCATGTCAGTGAGCTTGGGCTATCATATAGTGGGCGCTAGTGTCTGTGTAATTAAGAGACTTTATTAGATGACAGTCCGAAGCACTGTAACGATGAATGTAGATGTTCATGTTCATATTTGTATCGTATTTCTTCCCCCATGTTCCCAGGTAGCAGGGATTGAAGGTATGCTCATCGCTAATAGGAAGGTGGAGAACCAGGTGAAGACGTACATTACTTACAACAAGGGCCGAGACTGGAGGCTTTTGCAGGCGCCCGCTACTGACTTGGCAGGAAATCCCATTCATTGTGTGCTGGTAAGAAAGGCCTGAGTTGGATTGATTGTTTGTTTGGATTATTTATTTATTTATTTACTTACGAAATGTATGTTAGTGAGTGAACTATTCCTATTCCTGCAACTTGGCCAGTTTGTTATTCATATTAATCATTAATATAAAAAATATTTATATTTAATTTTATTTTATTCTAACACACACCCACATATATACTGTAT